GAAAGGTTCCGAGTGATTCGGGTATTTTCGTGGGTACTGGGGAGTTATGGGAATACGAGGAAGAAGCAATGGGCCTCATGTGCCAAGTGGTGGAAGAGAGGAGGCAGGGCGCACGGCCTCCCTAGCCCAAACCGAATTGGACTAGGGGGCCGGCCCCCCTTTCCTCTTTTTCCTCCCTCTCCTTCCTTCTCCTTCTCCTTCCCTTCCTTCCCCTCTCCTACTTGGAATAGGAAAGAGGGGGGAATCCTATTTGGAGTAGGATTCCCCCCTTGGGCGCGCCTCCTCCCCTTGGCCGGCCCTCTCCTCCTCCCCCCTTTATATACGGAGGAGGGGGCACCCCATAGAGACAACAATTGATCTCTTGATCTCTTAGCCGTGTGCGGTGCCCCCCTCCACCATAGTTCTCCTTGATAATATTGTAGCGGTGCTTAGGCGAAGCCTTGCGACGGTAGAACAACAAGATCGTCACCACGCCGTCGTGGTGACGAAACTATTCCCCGACATTCTGTTGGATCGGAGTCCGGGGAACGTCATCGAGCTGAACGTGTGCAAGAACTCGGAGGTGCCGTAGTTTCGGTGCTTGATTGGTCGGGTTGTGAAGACGTACGACTACATCAACCGCGTTGTGCTAACGCTTCCGCTTTCGGTCTACGAGGGTACGTGGACACACTCTCCCCTCTCATTGCTATGCATCACCATGATCTTGCGTGTGCGTAGGAATTTTTTTGAAATTACTACGTTCCCCAACAGCACCTCCCAATGGATGCAACTACATCTCCCAATACCCGTTAAGAACCGATGCAATTGCCAAAAAAACAATCCAATATTATTGAAAAACAAGTTAAAAGGTGTTGTCGATATGTGTCCACCCACTTGGCCGCCACTTCTTGGTCCCATAGAGACACATCAATCTTGTAATGTTCTATCTAGTTAAAAGTTGGTCATCATGGTAACTTTGTGCACTTCGTTTGGGTCCAACAATCAGGCCAAGGCCACTTACAGACCCAACTTTATTATCTATTTGAGATATTTGATCTTCATCTATGCTCACAATATTTAGGTATCTTCTATCACATTCTTTGTTGTTCCTTGCTTGCAAGATTAGACCTGTGTGGACTAGTTGATCGATTATTTGGTGTCAGGAGATCTTGCCCAAATTGCAGGCTCATGATGAGGACAACACTATCATGGATACAAGCACAACCTCCACTTCCTCCACATTTGATCAAGACATGGTGGTCAAGAAGTGTGATATGCTCTGGTGTTGTACAAGAAGTTCTCCCATGTCACTTTTTTTTGGGAACGAAGGCAAAAGATTTGTCTCATCCATTAAATAAGGGAGAATAGAGTTTTTAGAAGGTTACAAAGTCCGCATCCCACATCACTTTGGAATGTAGATAAGTTAGAAATCAAGTTCCACACATCTTGAACTCATTTTTTAACCGCTGAAACAACATTAATTTCAAGTCTTCAAATGTTGATAACTTGGACCAGTGGTTTAAAACTAAGCAGACACATAGTTTGGCTAGATTCCATACAAGAGGGAACCATCCCTAGCCGCATTGGTTGAACAAGTGCTTGCGACAGTCAACGCACAAGAAGGAGCACTCACCCCCGGGGATGAACTCGATGGCGGGAGCACGTCACAGAGCTATTAGCGGATCATCTTAATCCTCAGTGGTGTTCATTCGGCCTTCATGGTGCATCTCCTAGCGATATATATTTTTAAATGACTGAGATTTATACATATATAATCCCTTTCTAAAGATCAGCTAAACTAAAAATAGTAAAAGCGAAAACATATGACAAGCTTAGGTAAAGCATGAACATGTGTGCGGATAGGATCAATCGAGTAGTAACATTAACTACTTGCATGTATAGTATCATCTTAAGAAATGTACACATACACATATTACTTATTAGTAAGTAGTAACTATTAGATAATACCCAACGCGTTTGGCTGAAATTTAATATACTTTCATGATAACTGGTTATTTCACCATGATATTTGGAAGAATGATATGAAAACTAAAACTAAGAACATGTATAATTTCTTGTATTTAATTGGTGATGAGGTGGGTCTTTTTTTCATGCATGTTTGCATATTGAGGCGTATCTTTTGCATGCATGTCTGTACGATGAGATGTCATATACCCATGCTGAACATGTTTGCATATTAAGGCGTATCTTTTGCATGCATGTCTGTACGATGAGATGTCATATACCCATGTTGAATATGTTTGCATATTGAGGCGTATCTTTTCCATGCATGTTTGTATGATGAGATGTCTTATATGCATGTTAAGAAAAATATGTTTATGTTGTAGATACAAAAGATTACTAAGATTAAATACTCCCTCCATTCCTAAGTATATGTACTTTTAGAGATTTCAATTTGGACTATACACAAAGCAAAATGAGTGAATCTACATTCTAAAATATGATATATATATATATATATATATATATATATATACACACACACACACACACACATGTCGTCTATTCTACAATCGATGATAGAATAATATTCTGCAATAATCTCGTACTGCCCGGAATAAAGATCTGGTACTGCTTCTGCATAACACAACCGTACTTCTTTTTCGTAAATTCGGTACTGCTCTTTTGTACTTGCGTAGTAATTCACTAATAGATTCTAAACCATTAATCGGAATTGCGCAAATGATATACCGTTGGAAAGCTACAAAATATTCTCAACTTTTTTATATTGTAACTTGCTTCACTTTTTTTAATTTTTTATTACGAATTTTCAAAAAACAGAAATCATCACAAGCTGAACGAAAAGTGTTTTGACCAAAATTCTTTAACCACTTATCGGAATATAGCAAATGATATACCATTGAAAAGCTACTGAAATTTACAAAAATTTTCATGTTTTAAGTTTTTTCAAATTTTGCACAGTTTTGGAATAGTTTTGAAAATACTAAAAATCTGTTTTTATTAGAAGAAGATCATGGATCATTTTTGGATATTGAAATGATGCAGATGATATGGCGTTGGAAAGGTAGTGAAATTCCCATCTTTTTCGTGTATTTTTTTTTAAATTTTACATATTTTTTTGAGCAGTTTTGAAAATACCGAGATTCATTCAAAATAGATGAACAATAATTATATACTAATTTTTTAACCACTTCTCAGAATAGCGCAAATGATATACCGTTGGAAAGCTACTGAAATTTACAAAGGTTTTTTGATTTTTTTTCAAATTATGCATAGCTTTGAAACAGTTTTGAAAATACTAAATTTTAGATCTATTAAAATATGATCATTGATGTTTTTTGGACCTCGAAATGATGCAAATGGTATGACATTGGAAAGGTATTGAAATTTAGCAAATTTTTGTGTTTTAACATTTTTCTAATTCTTCATGGTTTTTGAACAATATTCAAAATACCAAGATTTTTCTTGTTACAAGGAAACATAGTATTGTACTTCTGTGGAATATGAGTTTCTTACTGTCGGACAATAAAGAAGTTTCTATACTTCTCAAAGTGATTAAATTGTACTGCCCCTAATTTTTTTCCAGAGAACTCAAATTCCCTCCACGTGTACCCTTGTACTTCTGTGGAATATGAGTTTCTTACTGCCCGATAATAATAGTAATAATAATAATTATACTCCTCGAAATGAATAAATTGTACTGCTCGGGTTTATTTCAAAAGAACACAATTTTTCCTCGTACTTCTGTGGAATACGAGTTTCGTACTGCTCTGCAATAATTTTTTTTGTATTACTCAAAATGATTAAATTGTATTGCTCGTAAATTATTTTATATAAGTCAGTTTCCTTCGACATGTATCTTGTACTTCTTGGGAATATCAGTTTCGTACTTCTTGATCTTATAGGGTTTGTACTTCTCAATTACACAATTTTTATTAAGGCTACTTTTGCATTTTTATCTGCACTGCTGCTTCTCTTCACTACAGAGAACCTTTTTGTACTTCCCTAAGCTTGCTAATTCCACAGCTCCAAGTAGCAGCTGCAAAAGATGAGTACCAAATTAGCATAAAGGACACCCTGTACTGCTACTTCAAACTACTCGGTACTTCTCTCAGTGTAACTATGGTACTGCCTCCCTAGCAAGAATAATTCTCAGCAGGTACTTCCTCGCTCGCATGTTGTACTGCTCTATACTTCTACCTAAATATTGTATGTACTTCCCGTTACTGCTACCTTTGTACTTTCCGTAATTCTCCACTCAGGAGGTCAAAATTTCATTCAATCTCCTCGCCGCCCGCCGGAGTAAAAAGAATGCCACAGAATGCCACGATGAAGAGAAATACATTTTACCCTCGCACCTCTCGCTGGAGAAGGAGCTCGTGCTTGTGCTCAACGTTGGAACCCGGAATAACCCCGCACCCGTAGAATACGAGTTTGGTACTGCTCCGCAATAATTTTATTTTTGTACTCAAAATGATTAAATTGTATTGCTCGTAAATTATTTCACATAAGTCAGTTTCCTTCGACATGTATCTTGTACTTCTTGGGAATATCAGTTTCGTACTTCTTGATCTTATAGGGTTTGTACTTCTCAATTACACAATTTTTATTAAGGCTAGATTTGCATTTTTATCTGCACTGCTGCTTCTCTTCACTACAGAGAACCTTTTTTTGCACTTTTCTAAGCTTGCTAATTCCACAGCTCCAAGTAGCAGCTGCAAAAGATGAGTACCAAATTAGCATAAAGGACACCCTGTACTGCTACTTCAAACTACTCGGTACTTCTCTCAGTGTAACTATGGTACTGCCTCCCTAGCAGGAATAATTCCCAGCAGGTACTTCCTCGCTCGCATGCTGTACTGCTTTGTACTTCTACCTAAATATTGTATGTACTTCTCATTACTGCTACCTTTGTACTTCCCGTCGAACACCTCGATGGTAGGGATACACAGGCTACTACTAGTCTATTTCGCTGCTGCTCGAGCTAATCCGCTACGCCGGGGCGCGCCTCCGCCCGGCGCCCCGTACCGCCACCATCCATGGAGATCTCCCTGGACGCGCTGTTGGGCGTGCAGCGGCACGGACAGGACCTGGCCTACCGCCTCGTGCATGGCGTCTCGGGGCTGCTGCTCCAACTCCACGTGCAGACGCCGCCGCTCAAGCTCCTCCCCTTCGACATCGAGCTCCCCGCTGCCCCCTTCGCAGTCAGCGTCGACCTCCCGGCCGTGGCCGTCGTGTCCTTCGTGGAGATCGGCGGCCTGCTCGGGCAGGCCGGGCCCGACCTCGGCGGCGCCGTGCAGCATCTGTCGCGGCAGCTTCCCGCGCCGTTCCGCGCGCGGCGCCGGAAGTGGGAAGGAGGCGCCGCGACGCCGACGCCCGCGGCGGCGGTGGACGAGGGGGAAGCGGGGCTCGCCGCAGAAAGGGCTGCCGAGGGTGGGGTAGCCTTGGAGGGTGTCGGGGAAGGAGGCTCCCTTGAGGAGGTGGCTGCGGCCACTGGGAGTGCCGCTGCCGCCAGTGCGGCCGGGGTCGGGGCCGAGGGTGCTTGGTCGGGGGATCTGTTTTCGGGATCCGGGCAGGTGTTGCCTGGTCGGGTCGGTCTCCGATTCAAAACTACCTTATATAGGGGCTTGCCTATTGTAGAATATTCACATGATACTAGTATATAATACTACCTTCATATAGGGAATACTATCATAAAGTACTCCCTCTGTCCCAAAATATAAGAACGTTTTTCATACTACACTAGTATGAAAAACGCTCTTATATTTTGGGACGGAAGGAGTAGTATCTTAGATGATCGTATTTATTGTCATGCATGACACAAAGTAGTATAGCATTTAACATGATACGGTAACTACCTATGTTACTTTAACCCTCTTTTTTTTCTTTAATTGTGTATCACATAAGCATGTTTGCTAGTCCCAAGTGCATGTTACCGGTTATGTTACCCTCGCTATGGCCAGCCTAAGACTACCCACAGTAGGAGTAATATATGTGATAACATGATACATATCTAGATAAAATAGATTATGTGACAAACAATTAATGAAGAAAGAGAGGCTTGAAGAAAGAGTATTTAGGAACGAGGGAGGTACTCCTACAAGCGAAGGCAACCACACTTCACTCCCGTGAACCCGTAGTGCATGTGCCATGTGCGCCGCGCCATTCGCTTCATATATACCCCGATACAGCCAAGCCAGCCAGCCAGCCAGCCCGCCTCACTAGCGCAAGTGAGTGACACTTGTGACAGTTTGCACGCGCGCTAGAGCCATGGGACGTCGCACTCACGTCGTCCTAGCCGCCGCGGCGCCAGCGCTGCTGCTCGTCGTCCTCCAGCTGCACGTGGCCGTGGCCGCCGACCCGCCCTTCTCCTGCGGCGCGCCGTCGAGCGCGGCGTTCTGCGACCGTAGGCTGCCGATCGAGCAGCGGGCGGGGGACCTGGTGTCGAAGCTCACTCTCGAGGAGAAGATCTCGCAGCTCGGCGACGAGTCCCCGGCCGTGGAGCGGCTGGGCGTGCCGGCGTACAAGTGGTGGTCGGAGGCGCTGCACGGCGTCGCCAATGCCGGCCGCGGTGTCCACCTGGACGGCCCGCTCCGCGCCGCCACCAGCTTCCCGCAGGTCATCCTTACCGCCGCGTCCTTCAACCCGCACCTCTGGTACCGCATCGGCCAGGTACGTACACACGCTCGTCCAGTTCTTACTGCTTCATTTTTACCTCGTCACTCTGCTTTTGTGGTTCATTTACGACCGAGAGCACTCTCGGCCATTCATTAGAATGTGTAGAGGGGCTTAACGTTCAAAGGATTTGACACCATCAGGAAAACAAAGGAACATGGCGGTAACAATGCCGATGATCAAAGAACACGAGTGTGGTTTTCTGCAAAAAAAGAGAACTACTTTTGGGCCTATTTTTTTTTCTTGATGGTACTTTTGGGCCTAGTTTTTGTTCATAGGGCCATGGGAATTAAGTATTTCGTGTAATGGGGCACGAGGTTGCCCGCAAACCGGTAAACTATCACCAACCGGGCATGTCACTTTTTTGATTTTTGAGCACCTTCCTACCAACTGGTACGAACGTGGTAGGTGCATGCAGCTTTTGAGTTTTGTCAAAACTCGAAAGTGTGTGATCTGTAATTCCATTGATGTCCTTGCACTGAACTTTTTTTTTTGCGGGGTGTCCTTGCACTGAACTTCTAGAAGGAGGAATACCACAATGCACACAAACAGAACAAGTGGGAATGGTTGACAACCTCATATGATTGGTATATCGTAAAAAGACCGAGACACTCATACTTGGACCGAGATTCCACACCGCGAGATACAAAACATCCCCTGCCTCCACATCACATAGTTGAAGAGGATGTTAGAATTAAACTGTTGGCAAAGGTGGACGGGAAGATATTACTCCCTCCATTTCAAAATAAGTGTCTCAACTTTATATTAACAAAGTTGTACTAAGCTTAAAACACTTATTTTAAGATGGAGGGAGTATTTGTTAATCAGGTTCGTCGCTCCTACATCCATGGAGCATGATCATCATGACCATCGCGCCACGGCTGGATCCAGTCACCCCTACCAGGGACGTCTAGATTGTTTCATGATCTAGCTTGCCAGTTTCTTTTGGCTGCTCCATTGTGTCTTTATATGTTAGGCATGAGGGATATTTACACGTGTTTGATTCAAACCCCTAATCATCCACATATGCAAGTCTAATCATAGGTTAATACACACATTCAACACCAATTCCAACTTATGGATGCATCTCCTCCCGTGTCGCTCCCGCGGCGTCCCGGGAGCAAACCCTAGCCGCCGCCACTAGTCACATCCCGCACATCCCCCTCCTCGCCGCCGTCGGCAGGCGTCGCCGGGCGAAGCCCGCGCGGCGTCGGCGGCGGCGGGGCCTTCTGGTCGGTCTCGGGCGTGGGAAAGGGCAGTGCGGGGCGCTCCACCTAGGCAGAGGCGAGGGCTCGCGCGGCGTCACGGGTCGATGACGACGGAGGAAGGTGGGTGGCGGGCCTGCCGTTTCGCTAGCGCTCGTGCTGGTGCGCGGCGGTTCCCCTCTCGATTGGTGGCTCTGCAGCTTGGGGCCGCTCGATCTGCTCGGGTCCATCTCGTCCAGATCTGACTTCCTCGAGGTCCGGCGGGTTGGCTCACCCAGCGGTGGCCTTGGCTATGGCTTGGCAGATGCCTAGAGGGTTGGCGGCGGGGTCTGGTGGTCTTCGGCGGGTTAAGGAGGCGAGAGGATGACGGGGTAGTGCTCTGCTGCAGCCGCCACGCCATGGTGAAGTCGGGTGGTGGTCAAGCACGGCTGGTCGCTGCGGGTGACTCCTCTGGATTTGGATCCGGTGGGTCAGTTGGCAGGGCTGCTTGCGACCGTGCTATGGAGGTGGAGGTAGGAGGAGGTGGGGGAGATGTGGTCGCCGGTGTTGGTTTTGGGCTCTGTCTCTGGCTGGCGTCTGCGGTGGGTGCAGAACTAGGATTCCTTTGCCTCCGGTGGTGCCTTCCTGTACGTGGAGTCAACGACGCACGGCTCAGGGTCTTGCGCAGGTGGAGGTTGGTGGCGGTTGTGGTGATGGCATTGGTGCAGCGGCTTGGATCGATCCACCCTTCCGTCGTTGGTGCTCGAGGTGAGCAGTTGCGGCTATGGAGGGAGGGCTCCTTCTAGACCTGGTGAGGACGCTTGCCGCGGTCAGGAAGGGGATGGTGAGGTCTCACGCTCATGGGCTTGCTGGACTATACAGCCAGCATGGTGCGGGGAGGACCGGGATGCGAAGTCTCAGGCGAAAGCCTAGTGCCGACCTCATCGACAGCGATGATGGTGACGCCTTTGGGCGTCGCTTCTCTTCTTGAAGTCATCATCGTGGAGCTTCTGTAGCCCATTCTCTGGTGTGCTCCGGGCGAAAGCCTTAGATTCTTTTCTGAATCGGACGACGATGCCATCTTTGATGTCATTTTTCCTCTTGGGGATGTTGTCTTGGAGCCATGTTTCGCGGCTGGTCCTTGATGTCTCGGTTGGAGCGTGGCTGGTTTGTTGGAGTGTATGGTGGTGGCGGTGGAAGTGATATGTGTGGCGGTCATTGCCTTGGTCATCTTGGTGCTGCTGGCTGACCACTCTGGGGGCTCGTGGCGGCGGTGAGGTCTCGGAGTTCGGTGCCCTTCGATGACGCTTGAGATTTGGTTGCCTCAAGTGCTCATGCTCTCTCTATTTGTGATGGTGGCTGTGGTGTGGCCTAGAGGAGGTGTAGGGCTGTCTCGGTGGAACATTGCCCTTCGGCACTGTCTGTGGCTTTCTCTGTCGCGACGTGCCTCGGCAATGGGATGCCCTTCGACGGTGGTTGCGACTTCCTAGCTTCAAGGTGCAGAGAGATTGCAGGGCAGGTGGTGACTTCTTATCTACGTCTTCTCGATTGCGGATCTCCTTTCGATTGATCCAACAAAGCTAGCTCTCGCTCTTCTCGGTCTGCCTGGTGGTGATGGGTGCTAAGTTTTTGGTGTTGATTGCTCGTTGTAGCTCACTTCTTGTTCTCCTTCTGTTGTTCTTTGTTCTTCTTGTGTGTGTTGTAGGTCGCTTCTTGTTCTTCTTCTGTTGCCCCTTTTCTTCTTCTGTGTGTTGTAGCTCCTTGTTCCTCTGTTGTACCCACTCTGCTGTCTCTCAGTGTTAGGTCGGGTGCTACCTGTTGTATCCACCTTGTTGTATCTCAGTCTTATATATAATGAAAATGGTTCAGGCCGGCGTAAGCCCGCCGTAGCACCGTCAAAAAAAAATCCAACTTATGTGCTGGTGGTGGTCATGCCCCGTGGTCACAATTGGCGCATACCAAGGAGCACTCACCACCCGGGTCTGTCTTGTCGGTTCAAGAACAACCACAAAAATGTTACCCATACCACCTCACCTGAATCTTTGTGGTGCATCACCAAACGGTGTACATTTTTATATCATGAGAAGTTCTAAAGAATTTGAAGGATTTGACACAAACAGGCACGAGCATAAAATATACGACATGTTGCATGCACGTGCATAGGATCGAGTTCCGACCACCTCATGTGGTCAATTTCCAGTGGTTGGTTGTGACCGCTCCTCTGGTCGTGTCACTACATGTCCGTCCTATGTTATTAAGCTCGCGGTCATTGCCACTACTTGTTGATGATGTCCCGTCCCT